TAATATTTGATATAAATCAATATAAAATGACATGGCTTCACTATTTAAAATTTATTTAAAGTACAGTTCCTAGGGAATTCTAATCTAAAGTGATTGCAAACGCTATCTGTTGTCACGTGTAAAAAATATAGACTTATGGGAGATTCATACAACTTTGCTACTTGCCATGGGATTTTTTACATCCAATGAAAATATTTCTTTTCTAGAGACAAATATGGCGTTAGACAAAGTCTCTGTAAAGCGTATTTTTTTTATTGGATATAAATATCTTGAAGAAAACGTCGATACAATGTGAACTTTTCATAAGTCTTTATCAAAAACTTCGAGAGAAATGGCAGCCGCCAGGGTTGAGAAATGATGTTCCGTGACAGTTTCAAATATTACAAAAGTCGAAATCCCGACCCGATCTCAGTAATGTAATCGATCTTGAAAATCTTGATTGCATCAGAGTACGTATTACATAAATTAATGTATACTTTCCTATGTTGCTCACAAATATTACTTTTAGGTTAGAAATATTAAGGCACACATCACTGGTGAAGAAATTGAGGATAATTTTGGGCTGAAATCAGTAGAAAAATGGAAGATTTACGAATTACTAGATATTCCTGGTAAATATAAATAATATTTAAAATTTTTATTTAGAATAGTATATTATATTTCTAAATATAATAATGTGAAGTATCCTAATAATAACAATTTTATCTTATGCCTATTTTTTTATTACATTTAGGTCTCATCTTTATACAAAATCCATTTACACCAAATGGCCAACGATACTGGATTACAAGATGTCTAAAAGATTACTCTAAGGAACCTTACAAATTAAATATAGATGCCCATAATATTTTAAATAATGAAACATGGTGGGACATATGTTTTCAGTAAGACAATTAACATAATTATTACTAAGTTTTAATATCAGTATAATAGATTTTGATACAGTAATTTTTATAGTCAATCCACAATAAATACTTATTTTTACACAAATGCAATTATTTGAAAAAATTTCGCTATATAACTAGAGATTGTATTATTTTAATATATTTAGGACTTCTGAAAGGGCTAAAACTCTTCTGCCAAAGTTACGATGGGCGACATTGGGATATCATCACAATTGGGATACCAAATTGTACTCTGAAAATTCAAAAAGCGACATGCCGACAGAATTATTCGGTCTAACGTCTATTTTGGCAAAGGCATTAGGTTTTTCGAACTTTAAAGCCGAAGCTGCGATTGTGAACTACTATCGAATGAACTCAACTTTAGCAGGACATACGGATCATTCGGAGATGAATGTCACTGCACCGCTTTTTTCGATAAGTTTCGGACAGACGGCGATCTTCCTAATCGGTGGACCGAGACAGGAAGATCCGACTAATGCAATGTTTTTGCGGAGTGGAGATGTAGTAATAATGTCAAACAGCTCTCGTTTAAGGTATCACGGAGTACCGAAAATTTTACCGGCATCCAAAACACCCTGGGACGATAATCGCGAAGAAAGTAAGAAAAATTCAATGTACAATTGCGACGATTGGTGCAAAGCACGAACTTACATTGCAGAGGCTAGGATTAATATGAATGTGCGACAGGTTCTAAAACCTGGACAGATTGTATTATATTGAACCACGTTATATTTTTGTAAAAAAAGTATTAAAGATATTTATTTTACCAAAATATATTTTCCTAGTATATTTGATTATTATTTTGTATGTTTTTAAAATAATTTTTTATTACTGTTAGTTGCTGAATTGTTTGCATCTTTCAAATCGCGCGCCATTGAAAACATGACTATCACGACTTCCGGTCTCTCGTGTCAGCTGATCAATCCCGTTCCTGTCTGCTGATGCACAGTAGTTGAGAATGTCAGGCAAAGACAAGTTACCGATCTTCCCCTCCCGGGGGTAAGTATTTTATTTTAACGAAATCAATATGTTTATTAAAAACGAGAGAATTTCATTCATATATTACGCGTCGTTGTTTGTTTTCGAGTAATACTGTTTTGAAACATAATTAAACAATGGGTGTAACCCCGTCTTCAATTGTTAAAAGGGTTTTTAAACGTTTATTTAAATATTCTGACTCTATTTTTCTTTACTACAAATTGTTTTGTTCGTAAAATTTATTAATTTGCAAAATTTTTTTATCATAAAATTTATTTCAAGAAGATTTCGAAATATTTGCTCAAGTGACGATGACGATTTCAATCTGTTCCATCTATTCTGCTGCAAAATATCTTGCTTTTAAAGTAATTTTATTCGCAAATTTATTTATTGCACAATTGATTAATGATATAATGCAAGATTTATAAATTATGTGTAATAATAGACAGTGTATTTTAAACATATAGTACATGTTGAAGATTTTGTAATATATTTCACTTTTATTAATTCCTATTTATGTATTAATTTTCTAGGGCCCAAATGTTGATGAAATCCCGTTTAGCAGGAGCACAAAAAGGGCATGGATTGCTGAAAAAGAAAGCTGATGCGCTGCAAATGCGCTTTAGGATGATTTTAGGGAAAATCATAGAGGTATAATTAATTCTATTGCTAATTCTAACTTTCTAATATTATTAAATATTTATATTTATTTTGTCTCTTGATCTTTTGATTATTTTTTCTTTTTAGACCAAAACTTTGATGGGTGAAGTGATGAAGGAGGCAGCCTTTTCATTAGCTGAAGCAAAGTTTGCCACAGGAGACTTCAACCAGGTGGTTCTGCAAAATGTAACAAAAGCGCAGATTAAGATCCGCTCTAAGAAGGATAATGTTGCCGGTGTGAATCTGCCGATATTTGAATCTTATCAAGATGGAACAGATACTTACGAGTTAGCAGGTTTGGCTAGAGGTGGACAGCAGTTAGCCAAACTGAAAAAGAACTATCAACGAGCGGTGAAGTTGCTGGTGGAACTGGCATCGCTACAAACAAGTTTCGTCACTTTGGACGAAGTTATTAAGATTACAAATCGACGTGTTAATGCTATCGAGCACGTTATCATTCCTCGAATTGAGAGAACGCTGGCCTATATTATTTCGGAACTCGACGAGCTTGAAAGAGAGGAGTTCTATCGGTTGAAGAAGATTCAGGATAAAAAGAAGATTGCCAAGGCAAAGGTACAATTTAATTTTTTACTCTTCTATAAATTCTACAAATAATGTTGTTTAATTAATTCTATTAATTCTAGCAATATTTTTTTATTTATTAATAATCTAATTGTATTTCGTTTTATTGATGAATAAAAATGTATATTACTTAAATCTCTCAATCCATTACAGGTTGAAGCAGAAAGAGCAAAGTTTATTGCAGCCGGACATAATGTGGAGGCTGCAAACTTGCTCGATGAAAGTGACGATGATGTACTGTTTTAAATATTGTAAATATGTTATATATATATATATATATTATAAGAGAATGTTGACAACTTAAAAAGTGAATATATGTAAAGAGCCAATTTCTCTTTCTGTTTAGCTCTTTATCGTGTATAACTTGGTCGTGACAGGCGCATATACGTTTTAGAGAATATCATAGTTTTTTAAAACTTTTTTTGGCAACTGTGAAGAGACCGCTATTACTGTTTTCATTTATCTTGTAAGAGAAATAGATTGTACAGACTTTGTCATGCAGTGATTTACAAACACGAGTATATCATGTATACATGTAGGGGCAGCGCTTTTAAAAGTATTTTAATTCCAAGTATTTTAATTCTATATATATATAGCTATATATATAGCAAAATGTATTCTGATTCTATATATCACAAATCATTCCATCATCCAAATCATTTCCGGTTTGTATGATATAAGGAATTGTACAATTCAATACTCTAGAAACAGTTATGAATATAATAAATACATGTATATATTTATTTCTCTGAACATTAATTATCGCAACCTCTTTTGCGTTATTAATCATTTTTCAGATTTTTGCAGAAAAATGCGTGATCAAGGTATTTGGAATAGAAGGGCTCGAATCGTAGAAGTGCAGATTTTATTAAAATCGGATTTTTAAAATCGATACAATTTCTATAAGAATTAGATCTATATTTGCACAATCAAAGCACATCAAGTGAAAGAAATTTTAATTTAAGTTTTTTAAGTTTTGGTCGAAAATCGTAACACAGTTGGCGTGTACAACTGACCTAGTGTATTCGCTAGTTAACTAGGTCGATCAATATTATACGGAGCGGAGGGAAGGAGGATGGTTTTCCCATATGAGAGGTGGTGACTACCCTTATTCAGGAGGAGATGCGCGTGTGGAAATTGCTCTCAGTGCGCGGCGGAAAATTCGCCCACCCCAAACATGTCGTCGTCTTCTAGCGAGGATTGTCTGACGGTCGCGGAGGTGCCGGAGGATCGCTATGACGAGGCGATCCACCACTTGCGATGGAATTTCTTCGCCGACGAGCCACTCAACAATGCTGTGGGACTCTGCGCAAAGGGGGAATCGCAGCTCGAGCTCGAGCGACACTGTTTGCTCACCTTGAAGCAGGGTTACTCCAGGATGCTGGTAGATAAGAAGGGAGCGGTGAGTCATAACACGATCTTCTCCCCTCCCTTTTCCATATCAAAAGACACACAATTTTTATTTACTCACTTCATTGTTATATTTTTTTTTTAACAATAGAAAATAATTCTTTATTATTGTCTTTACTTATTTATCCATTTATAAGCGTTAGATATTAATAAATAAGAAAAATCAGCGATATTACTTACATTAAAAATACGTATAATTTCTATATATTTGTTCTATGTACACTACCGCTCATTAATTTCAATACACCCCAGATTTGTTGATTTCTCTGTAAAGAATGAACGTGATACGTATATTTTGCACAGAAATGAGTCCACCTGCTGTTAAAAACACTTTCAGCACTCACATGCATCGTATTTAAACATTATTTATATAAAAATTTTTGAAAACTAGTTTTCGAAAAAACGAAATTAACAGTCGGATAATGTCAGATCCCTGGAAATAAACAAAATACGTGCGCAAGGTTACGAGGTTCTCGTAGTGATCAGATACACGCCCAATGCTGTTTTGAAACCCATTTATCAACACATACACAGTGAAAGGACTCCGGTGTTCGCCTTGTACCGTGATATTGTGAAAACTTGTGAAAATGTGTAAAGTGGTCTCGTAAATGGCTCCCAAGGAGTTATCAATCGAAAAGCGATCTGCCATAGTCGCTTTGAGAAATGCAGGACATAGTTTGCGTGAAATTGCTCGCCTGGAGAAAGTTTCTCTTGGTGGTGTGCAGTGTACCCTCTAAGAGATTTGGGTGGTGTATTGAAATTAATGAGCGGTAGTGTATATTATTTTATTTTTAAATGATAGCACTTTTTCTCATTGTTTGTTTTTATTTTTCTCCCATTGATTTAGAAATTATTTTATATTAACTTATTCATTATCTTTTTAAAGTTAAAAATTCGACATTAGAATTTAACGAAGGACAAGTAGTATTATCATAATTACTTTATCAGATTGCAGGAATGGCACTAAATGGAATTTTGAAGAAGGGCGAACGCGAGGAGACAGAGCGACGTCTTTCCGAACTGGATGACGACAAATTCAAAACAATCTTCGGATTGCTCTACAAGGTGAATGATAAAATTGATCTCTTCGAAAAGTACGACGTGGACAAGCTATTCGAGTGTCGAATCCTTAGCGTCGATGAGAATTATCGCGGCAAAGGTTTGGCTAGCATTCTGATGGCCGATAGTGTGGAAACCGCCAGAAATGCCGGTTTTAAGGTAAATTAATTTATTTTTTATATTCAATTTATTTGTCTGCAATGCAAATTTTACCATAAGCTTAATTTATTGAGCCCATTTTTGATGTTACCCAAAAATAATGAAATTATTAATAATCTCTCCAAAATGTTTCATTTTTTTTTTTTTAAAGATAAATAGAATAAACATAATATTTTTGTGATATTTTAATGTTTGAAGAAAATATCTTCTCATCAAAGCAAAGTATATAAATTCGTGCAGTTATTTTATTGATTTTACATGTTATAAAGAAAGTTTTATTTTCTTATTTTTATTTGATTAATTTAAGATCATTACGTTGGCGTAATCGTTGGTTTGCATATACAGCACTACAGCACTTTCTTTTTGTTTCAGCATGCTCTTCCGTTAATATGCATGGGATGATTTTCGTTTACTACCCCACGGGTTGTAATTACAGTGCACCATTCGTTACTTTCCCGGAAAGGTACTTTGCACGCAAAAAAAAATAAGAGACGAAATGATCAATGAATAAATCAATCTATGAATAAATAAGAATTAATGATATTGAACGGCATTAACTCTAGAAATATATCTTCACTATCCAATTCTACAAAAGTAACTGATAATAAATACTACCTATTGTAAGGCTAATTGATAAGCAATGTTAATTGTAATTGTTAATACTTCTAGCATTGTTATCTTAAGATTCATAAATTGTGAAGACAATAGATAGATTTATTTTGGCTAAAGGTTGAATACGAGATATTCAATAGTTTTTGAAGTGATTTAAAGAGTTAATTGATTATTAAAATAGTTACTATTTAATTCCTTCATCTAGAAAATTTTTTAATTTCTTAAAAAAAAATTCCTTATATCTAATTCCTTTCGAAAGAATTCTCAATAGAAAAATAAATTGCATTAATTTAATATATATTATCATAGGTATGCAAGGCTGATGCTACTGGTGCGTACTCGCAGAAGGTCTGCCTGAAGCATGGCTTCCAAGTAGAGGCAGAGATTCCATACGTCGAGCTAGATAAATCCATTAGACCGGCGCCACCTCACCAGGCGTTAAAGCTGATGGTGAAATTGCTAGATTGAAGATTAAATGAAAGTCGCTCGCTCGGAGAGCTTGATTAAATTAAGCCATCAGCATACGAAAGCGCAAAGCGCAAAGTAGATACAGAATATATGTGTCATCGTGTCGTGACAATAACAGCTCTGTTAATGCATGTTCGGTATCGTGATCGACGTGACGCCTTCTCATAGAGTATTTATCTAAAAAAAAGAGAAAAAAAAAACAAAGGAATGTATAGCGCGTTTTATGTAGCACATAGACGTACGAAACGTCTTTAAATGGTATCCGGTTACTGCCCTCCCGTATGTGTGTTCTGAAAGAAGTATCGTCGTTAAACAAAAAGTAGAAGGCCAAGAACAAAATAATTTAATAAAATTAAACATTAATAATGATGTAATAAGAAATTGAAAAATTCAACACAGCGAACGTCAAGTTCACTGAAAATCTACTGTTAAATGTCTCGCGAATCGCATTCGGATTTTCTGTTTTGATTCTGCCAATGCAGAACTTGCTTAATTCCAATTTAGAAAAAAGGGAGAATCCAAAATATTTATCGAATCGTCGTATACGAGTTTAGATATCTAAGTGTTTGAAACCACGTATTAACAATTAAAGAATTTCATTCAATGATAAGTATAAAATAGGAATCTTTTATAGATTTTATTACATATATTTTGCAATTTCGGCACTTTTATGAAAAATTAAACATTTTTGTCTGCAATCACGTTTTATTTCACATAATTATAATTCAAAGAACAGATGTATTAAAAATTATAAAATTAGATAGGATACCTAAAAAGATTTTACAAAGATTTCGCAAGTTAAAAAGAAGCTATTGTTATTGTTGAGTATTACGCATTAAACAAAATGATATCCGACAATAGAAAAAAAAGGAAAAAGAAAGTTAAATGATATCAAATATTCTGATTTGACATTTGTTCTAACTTTGAGCGTGTCGCAATTCGCCGATGTTGGTGTGAGAATTTGTCCATAAAACAAACGTCCAGTTATATTTTTTTCTTTCTCTCTTTCTCATACGAACATCAGCGAATCGCGACTCGCTCAAAGTTAGAACAAATGTCAAATCAGAATATTTGACATCATGTAAGAATTTGTCCATAAAACATAAACGTCCAGTTATATTTTTTTCTTTCTCTCTTTCTTACACGAACATCAGCGAAACGTGTTTTTTTGTAATTAATAATTTATATATTTACTACATTCTGTATCGAAGTCATCGCTTTCGATACAGAATGTAGTAAATATATAAATTATTAATTAGAAAAATATGCACACACACACAATGATTCTAATAAACGTTTGTCTGTGACCTGAAATGTTTTTGCAATTTATTCTGTTTAATCTCCAACTTTGTGGAGTACTTGCGATAGATGTTCTCGATGTACCGAATGTCCCGCCTTCTTTTCTCCATAGCTGATGGTACAAGAAGTTCTTTAATACCCAGTGAGTTATATTTCATATCACGGTTCTTTTCAACAAACGTAATGGTATTATTGCGTTTTCTTCGTGTAGGGTATGCGTGATAATATTGCTTATAATAACGCACCAAAGTGCGATGACCAACCGTCTTACCGGACGGTAACACTAATTCGTAACCTTCATCGTCTAAAAAATCTCCTGATGGCAGCTCCTCATCCGAATCAACATCCGAATCCTCCCAATCTGGATAGCTAGATGAATAATTGTAGAAACGCATATACTCAAGTATCGTCTCTCCTTCAAACAGCATCTTGCAATGGCCTTTGTCAATCATGTGCGCTCTTGCCGCTTCCGCACTTCGCAGTTGTCTCCCTACAAAAATATATACATATATATATATATATTTTGAATATATATTGAAAAATTATTAATCTGTTAGTCATGTAGAGCATATACGATCCACGTCTTCGTATATTTTCGAAATCAAATTGATTTAACCGTTCTCTAACAGGTTTTCAGATTTTCACTGACTTGACGTTACTACCCTCAACTTTGACTAAAAAATGTGGACCCATAAAACCCCAACAATAGATCCAAGAAACAGTTGACCCAAAGAACAATAGACAACAAAAGGTCTATGGTCATAATTATGTAGAACTCGGGTAACACAAATCTCGTGAATATGGAAAATCACTGAAAACCGAGCTGATAGAAAATACCGAAATCTATTTGACTTTAAAAGTATACGAAATAAAAATGTAAAAATATTTTTAAAAAGTAAATTATTATTTAAAGCTTTTTAATTTATAAAATCAAAATTCTTTCTTTGTTCTGTAGCACATTTGCAACATTACACATTCTTCTTCATAATCATTTTTACAATTTTACAAATTATCATAAAACATATGTTATAAAACAGAGGAAAAACTGTTAATTTGTTAATCATGACAATGTAGAGCATATACGACCCATGGTCTCGTATATTTTCGAAGTCAAATTGATTCAACCGTTCTCTAACAGGCAGATTTTTTACTGACTTTCTTCTCTGACGTGACGTTACTACTCACAACTTTGACTAAAAAATGTGGACCCATAAAACCCCAATAACAATAGACCCAAGGAACAATAGACAACAAAAGGTCTATGGTCATGACCATGTGGAACTCAGGTAACACAAATCTCGTGAATATGGAAAATCACTGAAAACCGAGCTGATAGAAAATACTGAAATCTATTTGACTTTAAAAGTATACGAAATAAAAATGTAAAAATATTTTAAAAATAAATTATTATTTAAAGCTTTTAATTTATAAAATCAAAATTCTTTCTTTGTTCTATAGCACATTTGCAACATTACACATTGTTCTTCATAATCATTTGTACAATTTTACAAATTATCATAAAGCATATGTTATAAAACAGAGGAAAAACTGTTAATTTGTTAATCATGACAATGTAGAGCATATACGACCCATGGTCTCGTATATTTTCGAAGTCAAATTGATTCAACCGTTCTCTAACAGGCAGATTTTTTACTGACTTTCTTCTCTGACGTGACGTTACTACTCACAACTTTGACTAAAAAATGTGGACCCATAAAACCCCAATAACAATAGACCCAAGGAACAATAGACAACAAAAGGTCTATGGTCATGACCATGTGGAACTCAGGTAACACAAATCTCGTGAATATGAAAAATCACTGAAAACCGAGCTGATAGAAAATACTGAAATCTATTTGACTTTAAAAGTATACGAAATAAAAATGTAAAAATATTTTTAAAAAATAAATTATTATTTAAAGCTTTTTAATTTATAAAATCAAAATTCTTTCTTTATTCTATACCTTTGTTCTATATCTTCACATTTGCAACATTACACATTGTTCTTCATAATTATTTTTACAATTTTGCAAATTATTATAAAGCATATGTTATAAAACAGAGGAAAAACTGTTAATTTGTTAATGTAATGACGATGTGGAGCATATACGATCCATGTTCACCTATGTGAACTTAGCACCCGACTTTTAATAAATAAAGTTTTCAATACGTAAAATGATAGTACTTCGTTTGTAGTTGTTCGTAGTAAAGATATTTTCGTTTGTAGTTCAACCCATTAGCAAAAAAAATGTTTAAATATGACTGTCATCCGACTTTAAGATTTTTCAAATCCGCTTTTTCCACGTGATTCAGAATCGTTTGTAGTTGTTTGTAGTGATTTTCTTTTCGTTTGTAGTTAAATAGTTTAAAAATTATGATATATTTGCAATTAATATATTTTAAACAATTATACAATATTTAACAAACGAAGTACCATCATTTTACATATTGAAAACTTTATTTATTAAAAGTTGCTAAGTTCACAATGGTCCCATGTTCTCTTATATTTTCGAAATCAAATTGATTTAACCGTTCTTTAACAGGCAGATTTTTACTGACTTTCTTCTCTGACGTGACGTTACTATCCACAACTTTGACTAAAAAATGTGGACCCATAAAACACCAATAACAATAGACCCAAGAAACAGTAGACTCAAGGAACAATAGATCCAAGGAACAATAGACAATAAAAGGTCTATGGTCAAGACCATGTGGGACTCGGGTAAGACAAATCTTGTGAATTTGGAAAATCACTGAAAACCGATCTGTTAGAAAATGGTGAAATTTGATTTTGAAAATATAAGAAGTTAAAATATAAAAAAAAAATGTAACACAAGAAAAGTACAAGAAATTTTTGAATATAATTGACTTCCAATAATTTTTCGGATTAATTCGTACTTAAATTTCAATTTTTTTAAGGAAAATCAAATAAATTACTCACCCGAATCATTACACCAAAGACATTTGTATTCGAGACGTATCTTCTGTGATAAGTAGTTTATCAAATTTTTAATGTTCGAACAGTATTCCTCATCAGGTATGTAAAATGAGTGTTTCATCTTCATATGAGATAAATTATGAAATATGGTATCATATCGATTGGAGCAAAATAGGCAATAGTGGTCAGGAGTGACTTCAAACATCTTGTGCCACTGTTCTGGTAGATTTGTTTCAGATTTTATGCTATTTGCTGCAAAGCTATTTCGGGGTTTCTCCTTATATTCATTCTCCATTTCTGTCAATTTCTCAGCACTTGATAAATCTACGGCATTTTTCTGCATATTTTTCTTATGCTTATTCGTGGTCAAGTGATTCTTATACTGCTTTTCGCAGTTGTACTTCTTCCCGCAGAGTACGCAATAAAAAGTTTTCTTTGTTTCATCAGTCGTACGATAACTCTCCTCCTTTATCTCAAACTCCTCTTGTGTAACGCGAGGTAATTGGTTCACTTTTCTATTCAGATTATATATATGCCATTTGGAATGGAAATGCTGTCTATGCGCTTCACAAGTTTGGAATATCACGCCGCATGACCGACAATTATAGAAGATATGCTGGAAAGGTTCTTTGCACAGCTCAATATAGGTCCAGCTTGAATATGTAGACGTTGCCATTGTATTTCTCTTATTAGAATAACTTCTAGGTATCAATTGCTGTTAATATAAAAAAATAGATATTATTTAATCGATACAAGATTCATATCACGTTATCACACTTTAACTTAGATTGTGCACACGGCCGCATTTACCATAAGGTGCATTAGGCGCAAGCTGGGGCCTCATTTTGAAATCTTACTCCTCACTAATAACAATATAAAAAACAGCCTAGTTATAGTTGCAAAATAAAATACTTACTTTTAAATATTAAATTTATAATATAAAAACTAGAGGCCGCTGAAAAATTTGTAAGCGGTAATTGTTTATTAAATTATACCTTTTAGCATCATGTAATGCATGTCGACTTTTATTTTCAATAAACTTAAAAAAAAATGCGTATGAATTTGATTAACTGAAATAGATTTGTTCTTTTGAGGCCTCATAATGATGTTGCGCCTAGAGCCTCCAAAAGTATAAATGCGGCCCTGATTGTGCAACCAAGGATTTTTATTCTCACAAGAAATTTTATTCTCAATAATTCGATAAAAAAAGATTCAACAGATAAAATATTTTGTTGCATTTAAGGCCGAATGCGTCAATTAATTTATTAAATGCAATGAAAAAACAGTGAGATAACAAGCACGTGTTTTGGAGGTTAAATACACAGTACGGATTTTCTTGTTCAAAATAAAAAAAATATTTTAGTATCACTATATTATTATTACAATTATTTCAACTTACTTGATTTAATATTTCGATAAATATTCAACTGCACGAAGAAGAAACCAATGAGTCTGCACAAGACTGAACGAACCACCCAGAAGAACCAACGTACTCGAAATGATGACTCGTCGATGAGCTGCACGGCTGCATGCCGTATGTTACAATATGGCAGCCGACCATGATAGTGGGGGAAATATAGTGCTGCTATCTGTGCTTTAATCTCAGATTACCAAATAATTACTTTTTTATCCATTAATGATGTAAACATACTTACCGACGTATAGTAAACATACCGACGTTATCGTTACAACATAGTGTACAATATTTCTACTGCACGATAAGCGGTGCTCATGATGTTCGCAGTAACATTCAGGCAGTAGTCGTCACGCAGCGCAAGTTGGAGTATTTTCGTAGTTCAGTCTAGCACATTTTAAATATTACCTCGGATCAATCGAATCTGTGTTTACCACGCGAACTCGCGAACATTGCTAGCAGCGTAAACTCGCCAGCTTGATACGTCGTCGACACCGAGAACGATCAAAAGCGATAATAGAAGGCATCCAGAAGGCCGGCTCGATCGAGACACGCACGCACTCTCTCTATCTCTCCGTCTCGCTCTCTCGAGCCATCTCGCAGCTCGACTCATCCGAGACGTATCCGGACGGCTCTCGTGCAGGAGGGCGATCCGTCTGTCACGAATCTCGGCTCTCCCGAGTAGAAGATTTTCACGCTAGAAAGCGGCCGTCCAGCAGGGCGATACCATTTTATATGACTTTACTTCGACAACGAGGTAAGTTCTTCCTCCTCCCCTCACTTGCTCTCGCTTCTCTGATATTGAATTTTAATGATTGCTAAATTGGTTGCTCCAATTGATATTGATTTAATATTAATTAAACCGATCAGTTCGCCAGAGTGAATTTTTCTGCTACCATAACCTCTCTCTTTCTCTCTCGCTCGCTTGTTGCGCAAACTAATTTTAGCGACCAGCCATTTTGGACACACGGCACGACGGCAGGCGTGCGAGCGAGCATGCAATCCGCTCGTACTCCTGCGGAAATGAACGTGTCCCTCTCCTCTTCCTCCTACGACGACGGCGATGTCTCGCGTGCGTGTCGCGTGATGCGTCACCGCCGGAGAAAGAAACGAGAGCTCTCCCAAAGCCGGTCTTAATTCAACATGGAGCTAAAGGTCCTCCTGTTTTCACCATATTCGCACTTTCTGCAGATTTGTTATTTTTAGGTGCTCTAAATATTGATGTGTGCTAGTAGACTCTTTAAACTTGCATAATCGTGCATAAATGCACGAATAAATATGTGAGATACGCACGAAAAAAGGAGGGAAGAGTGAAAAATTCAAAAAAGGAAATATAATCGGAAGAATGCATTTTTTCATAATTTTTTCTATGGTAAGAAAAGCATATTATAATTAGGAGTTGACAGCTCTTAGATGACAAATTATAGATTGTCTGAGTTTTATGAAGTCCTTCGATTATTTCAGGTATGATATATGACTAGTTGTGTTATCGATGAGTATTGCTAATTTATTGCAAAACGTCATGTTACGTAATACAGGGTGGAGACACTCTTTATCTCCATGATTTGTAAAATTACCTGTTTTTTTTTTGTTTCAATCTGTATATATCATATTTTTTCTTGAAATAAATGTCAAGGCATTTATCACATTTGTATGCAAAAACGACGTTTTTTTTTATTTGCTCGTATTCATGACGAAGTACATTTGTCTGTATTTTTTCTAAATATTGAATGATTGAATTGCGCGATGTTACACATTTATTTTAAGAAGATTAAGATTTCTGTAGAAAAATCTATCGAATTTACTGTATTCTTATAATACGTTGTCATCGATTGTTAATTTTTTTGTCTTGTACTTTTAACTGAAAATTTACACATTTAAGATAATTAGAAGATTAATGGAGCTAACTGTGCCTCTCTTAATTGTCGTTTTAATTAAATTGAGAATATATCGGTTGGAACGTTTCCTCTTTGAAATTTATAAAGGGAATGTTTATTGTTTTTTATAATATTGCAAGGAAGGATATTTTATATTGTAATAATGTATTTATATTTATTATTATATTTTATATTGTAGCGTAAATATATTTGAAACATTGAACTTGGAATGCAAATGCGACAAAAACGGAAATACGCGAAAGTCGCACCGTCATTTGCATATATCACGTGTAAATTGCTGTGTCATCTAATGATAATTATTCCGAGAGTTCAATAGCGCGATCACGACTCACGTATCGCTGAAAAGTATTGCAGATATTGCAATACGTATCTGATAGCTTTATTTATTAACATCGATAAGGACGATATCGACTTTAATGTTTTTTTTTAATGAAGCTTTACAAATTTTCCGTCTGACCTAACATACATAATTATTTTAACAAATTAATAAATGCAATCAATCGCGAATCCAGCAACCATTTTTTTATTTGCTAGATTTAATTAAACTTTCAGCCAATATTGAAATAGAAAACTAGATAAAATTTTAGAAAATTAAGTGAAACCCAGTTTTATAGTAAATATTTTCCTCTATATATTTGTAGTATGATTTTTAATAGGAATGTTAGTTTCATGACCGAATTATATTACGATTAGATTGTATAATACTGTAAACACACTGATAATCGTAGATTCATACATTCTTCCAGCGCGGTTTTCTAGTTCGTGTTATTCAGTTTCATCGCAATCGGCAATAACAGTTGACTGGTATTTGTAAATACGTCTTTATCTGCAATATAAACTCCAATCACAAATGTTTGACTGTTAGTCTGTAGAATTGATCGTTAAGAATTCGAAATTCATGATATTGATGTCGTCAGGTAATTTTTATATTCTTTAAAACAGATACGAAAAATATAGAAAGATAGCTAGATACTTTTAAAATCTTGACTCGACAAAATTAAATAGAGTAATAACAATAATTAAGAATTAAAGTTCCTTGTCGAAGCGATTGGTGTACTTTTGTCGTATTCCGAAAAAAATGCTAAGTTTTTCAAGTTTTAGAAATATTTGAAGATGATTGCGTCAGGCAAGATTAAGTCTAAATCTTCCTCCTTTATTCGTGCAAGAATTGCGAACTGTTTTTTGCCATTTATCTGACCAAGCTGGCCTGCTACTTTGACCCATAAGTATGCATAAAGCGTACGGCTTCCGATAACGATGCAAAATAATACCTCTCTTAATCAGCTGGCAGAGGTTCTCAAGCAACATTTTCTCGTGGGTCGCGGCATTTCCGTAACCAGATCTCTCACGAATGATACGCATATATCCTTTGGAATTTATCGCGTCAGCGAATTTGTGTTTTTTGATCAGTATAGATTATTTTATTCTTTTGCATTTCTTGAAGAAGTGCAATCGAAATCGCCATTGATATTAACATTCACATAATAATTAACTGATTATATCAGAATGTGTTTCGATCAGCGATAAAGTAATATAATGAATTCCACACTTTACTTTCTCCGAATTCGAATTAGCAGCAGCATGTTCGCCAGAACGGGTTTCGCGACGTGAAAATATTTGTATCGAGGATCGCCCGACCGATAATTACGGCGCATTGAAAATGACAGTAAGACTTCTAAACAGGGCTTATTGAATTGGTTGTGGGGATTGCATCATAATAGACTTGCACACACACTGTCTGCTTTTCATTTCACGAGCACACAAATCTTTGCGATAAAAATTAATTAATTGAAAAATTTTCTTTGATATGTTCAAATACTATCAAGATCAATAGATTAGATAAAAAGTTATATAAGAATATTATCAATAAAAAAATTAATACCAGAGTAATAGATTAAAAAATTTCTGCTCAAAGTATTTTCTTTTGAGAAATGTAAATTTTTAAAGAAGGCAGGTCTTAATTTATATATATATCGACTTTTATATAGACTGGCTTTATAAAGCGCAATAATGTAATTTTCCTACAATCGGATATAATGTGAAAGTAAAGATTGTTGTAAACTTTAGTTCGATATTCAGTCTGCCGGCATATTTGTTTGTTATTAATTAATGCGACGCAATATTAACAGTGTCATTGTTTGCTCAAGGTTCTCTCTGCGAGATCAATTGAATAGCTTGGTGTTACATTTTATTTTAATTAAAAAATAATAGAAAAATATTAGTTCTACATTGCAGACTTATATAATCATCAAAGTACCACTAAAAAACGAAATTACTAATAAATATTTTGTTAAATTATTCTTCAACTAGCATTTATTCGTTCATTTATTCACTACTCCGAGGCTTTGAAGGTATATTTAAGCATATTGTTACGGCTTAATTTAATCGGTTAAGATAATTATGGAATATAATTTAATATAATTTAGCGCAGTCGGGCAAAGGGCTGTAAACAGATCTCCAGTTCACGTTGACGCGACCTGGACCTGGGTCAACCCACCCTGACCTATTCCACTACATTTTTTTCCAAATCGTTCGCACTATTTGTAAATCGTCAATATTATCGATATTGTCAATATTAACCAACTACCAAGAAATTCAATTTTGATTTAATTTCCAGATTGATCTAATATGAATTTAAATGCAAACTCAACTTAATGCAGATCTACAATTTCGGTACTGATTGAATCACACACATTCACAAATATGAATCTTATATACTCGTTGAAGAAAATTTCTTGACCGCAAGCTATGCGAGCCGGTCAACCTGCTCGAGAGTAGAGTTAGAATGACCTTGCCCGAAGACTGCTCTCTCTCTAAAGAAACGACGACGTCGGCGTCGCCGTCCGGATCGGCGTCGGCGTCCGATCAATATACACGGTGGCGGTTGCGAGAACGCGTGCGCGCCGCTGGGGTACGCCGATCCGGGGTCCCGAGAGCGGTCGTGCCAGAGCCACGAAGAAGCCGAGTGATCACTCTAGTTTGCGCCAGCCGACCGACCAACCGACCGACCGCTTCAACCCTCGCGAGCTGCTACCCCCCGCGCGAGAATCGATTCTCTCTCGGCGACGCGACAGACCTGCTCCACTTTTTCCCTCTCTTACTTCGTGTCTGTCCGATTCGAGATCCTTCAAGAATCTCGACACTCTGCCGCCGCGTCGCCGTTCCTCTCTGCTCTCGCGAGAGTGTGCTGGTCTTGGAGGAGAAGTACTGGGTACACCGGTGGTGTTGAATCGACAACCGACTGCCTACCGCGTCACCGTCGCAAATCACGACTTATGCGTCTGTACCGAGCAGGTAATTCGTCCGTTTCTGGCACACACGACTCCCCCGGGGGAATCACCCTCAACGATTCACCACCCTCGCGTTGATTAACCGAGATTTGCTGCGTAAGTCCGCAGGATAAGAATTCTGCGGCTGTCACGCATGTGGACTATGCACTGAATTCGAAAAAAGATGGGAGAGTTAACGCGTTTCGTTTGTTTTGAAATTTTAGTAATTGTTGTCATTAGATATATATATATTTTTTTTTTAATTAATAAGGGCAATCATTTGAATTATTCTGATCGATATTTACGTTCCATCCTTGAAAAGACTCGCTTTGTATTTCCGGCTGACGATGTGTAATTTAACTTTGTTGCGCCTGTCTTGATAGTTGCTAGTGTGCCTGCGTACGTCTTGGGAGATCTTAACAGTAGCCACGAAAGCACCGCTTATAGCACAGTAAATGGAGCGCAAGAATCAATATTAATAACGCACAGTTATTGTAAACAACTGCACCGGGTGCAGAATTACACACTACTTACATATCACAATGATGATACGTCGAAATTCGATGCCTTTACGCATCGCACTCTCGGATGTCTCGGAAGTTAAATTGATAGGATATTCTCCAGGATATTCTATTACCTAAAACATTGCAAGAGCGATATTTATTTTATCATTTGGATGAAGTATGATTTTTTTATGTTAACACGCACTTCATTTCACGCAATAAGTATTGTAAGTGCAAATATAAATCAATCTTTTGTTCCAACTTTACGGTGGCTAAAAGTACACATATGGCAAAATTATTACAAGAAGTTTATCATCGTCTGCAATGTGAGAAAAATATCGAAGCTTGATTAAGCTAAATGTAAGGTTGAACCAACATTAACATTGAAATTTCGCTAAGGTGACGATATTATTAAATAAATATTAATCTAAATTGAAAATTGCATAAAATAAATTGTATTTTACCTCAATTTTTCATGTACCTTCATTTATCGCACATACTTTTACTTAATTTTACTTGGAGCTTTCATTTATTACGTTTGCATTTGTTCGCGAGAGATCAAATCTATTTATCGCGATTCCGCAATCTTCAAGGACTTCCCAGTCTATCCCCAATTTTCGCTATCATGATCCTAATACGGTCCATCCTGCACGAAAATCATTCGGATGATCGTTTAGCATCATAGCCAGATGAAATACACATCAGTCCGATGATCCATCGTCCATGCTTGAAAATTCATCCCTGAACTTCACGGAAATTCATCCCCGATGGTTCTACAGCTCACGAGCGCTTTCAGCAGATCGAATTCGCATGGATAAAAGCGATTTGCAAGATTTTCCAATCTTTCTTCTCACATCCAGACAGTTCTTCACACATACATTGTAGATTCTGCAATTAAAATGATCCTATTAAGATTCAGGTTAGAGAGAAAAGATGAGAACACAAATTACAAAGAAAAATAATATTTTAATTATACAGATTACGTACTTTGAGTTGGATTATTATATAATTAAGCAAGTACGAATCTCTTGATTTTAGACTCTAATTGATTTCTCAAGTTAAACTCATCAGATTTAATATAATTTTATGAAAAAAATATATAAAAGTACATAAAATTCTTTATAAAATTACATTTTTAACATCTTTAAACGAATTCGAAATATGAGATAAAACTTTTGACGATATACAATTGTAACTTTAAATTTATTTTAGCAGGAAAATAATTGATCAAGAAATAAAAGTACACGCGAATCGTAATTTAACGAGTAAATAGGAGTGATGATTAAGATCGTCCTGTTTTGCTTTGCAGAAACATTCAGGATATCATCCAGAGGGAAAGGATCGGCGTGTAGCAAAGGCGGCGGCGACAGCAGAACACTATCATCCGACCGGCGATCATTAAACGGCAACACCATCACCACCCACGATCGTTTGTTCCCGTGCGAGTTAACCAGCGAGTTAACGTCGACATTATTACCAACTTGGTACCGACTACCGGGCTTTCTTAGGGCGACGAGCGACGGACAGGCAGCGTGTATGATCATTGAGGACTATCCCCCTACCCCGCCCGCCACCGCCAAACCGAGGCAACACCCGAGGCATCAAGATACCACCCAACGATTCCTAAACCTCCACCTGGTCCTGCCTAAGCACAGGACCTCAAAATTTTCCAGGTTTGTGATTCTAGATCAGTGTCACACGATTTTTTGTGTTCCAAGTCCAGTAAAAAGAGAAAAAAAAAAGAAGAAAAAAGAACAGTTTGAGAGAATGCTTTTCCTTATCTGCAGTAATAGGCATCGGAAGCTACAACCGTTCAGAGAAACGTGACTGGTATCAGCAGCGGGTAGCGGCGCGGCACGCCTAACCGCTGACAAGGACTACAACCCTGAGAAGAGGCAGAACCATCCTGACTCGACACGCTGTTGTTACGAGCCGCCGAGTGCAGGTAGCGACTGTTACCTGTTACTGGCCACTGCCGGCTACCAAACTGCCGCTGGCTGGAAACGTGCGACAGAGGAGATTTAGAAGGACCAGGACGAAGACGTTACCCACCTGAGGAAGAAGAGGGAAGAAGATCGCACAGCGAATCCAAACGTCATCACGATCTGCTCAAGAATCGATCTTTCCATTGCGATTCATTGATATTTTCACAACGACGTCTCGTCGGAGATTATTGTCAACTGGAAAAGTCAAGTCCGTTAAAAGCAAGAGAAGGCGGAAACAGCAGTCATCATGGGGAGCGTAAACGTCAATCGCAATGTCAGCGACGCATTTTACCGCTACAAGATGCCGCGGATTCTGGCGAAGGTGGAGGGCAAGGGGAACGGCATCAAGACGGTGATTGTCAACATGGTGGACGTGGCGAAGGCGATCGGTCGTCCGGCCACATACCCGACCAAGTACTTCGGCTGCGAATTGGGCGCGCAGACGCAATTCGACTTCAAGAACGAGCGTTTCATCGTTAACGGTTCGCACGATGCCACGAAACTGCAGGATTTGCTGGACGGTTTCATCCGCAAATACGTTTTATGTCCCGCTTGCGACAATCCGGAGACCGAGCTGATAATCAGTTCGAAGAAGGGTACGATCTCGCAAGTCTGCAAAGCCTGCGGTCATCATGGCCTCTTGGAGAGCAATCACAAGCTGAACACCTACATCTTGAAGAATCCACCGAGCCTGAATCCGGCGGCGCAGGGCAGCTCATTGACGGAGGGTAAGCGCGGCAAACGCTCGAAACGCGCCAACGGCAGCGACGCCGCGGCAGCGACCGCGACCACCACCGCCACCACCAACGGCAACGATCGATCCGGTTCACCGGAAAATGAAGTCAGTAACTCTGGAGACATCGTGGTTGAACCTCCGCCGGAAAAACAGTTACCAACAACGAGGATGACTTAAAATGGGCGGTGGACGTATCCGAGGAAGCGGTAAGAGCTCGTCTCCAAGATCTGACGGAGGGCGCGAAGGGCATGACCATTAGCGATGATCTTGACAAGAGTGAGAAGGAACGTATGGATATGTTCTACAAGCTGGTCAAGTGCCGTCGCGACGCCGGTCAACTCGATAACAATCACAAGGAGCTCGTGGCCGAGGCGGAGCGTCTCGAGATTAAGACCAAGGCGCCGCTGATCCTCGCCGAACTGCTATTCGATCAGGCAATCGCCGCACAAGCGAAGAAATACCGCGTGCTACTGTTGCGTTTTACTCACGATGACATCAAGGCGCAGAGGTATTTGATCAGAGGTATCGAACAAGTGATCGCGCTGCACAAGGACACGCTGATGCCGAAGGTTCCCGGAATTCTCAAGGTAAAAAGATGAGATCTGCAAAAATATTAAAAAATATTAGAAAGAAAATTTAATTAGAAGATATAAAAGCTTTGAAAAATTATTATAATTGTTGAAATATAAGGACAAGTATTTTTATACATCCTAATTCTTTTTCATAATACAATTTTTCTACATATTCCAGTTATTTTATGATGCTGACATCCTGGAAGAGAAAGCGTTTGATGAATGGTCGAGCAAAGTCAGTAAAAAATCCGTTCCGAAAGATCTGTCGCAAGAAATTCACGATCGAGCTGCACCATTTTTGACATGGTTGAAAGTTGCAGAGGAAGAAGAGTCCGAGTCTGAATCCGAAGATGATGACGTAGAGGTCAATTATTTTTTTTCAACAGTTGTTCTTTCCTATTTTAGATTTGTTGTACTTTATAAACTATTTTATTATATTTTATAGCTTTGCAACATCTAATATTTTGAATCTTTCTCTTACAGATCGAATATGATGATAGAGCCAAGCAAGAATCCCTAAAACAACAACAGCAGCAACCACCGGCCATACCAAAGCCCGCCGCTAACACCACCGCTGCCGTGAACGATGATTCTGATGAAGATGACTTCGATATTGATGCCATTTAAAGCACACACCATATACACGTGCTTGCGCGCACACACACATACACGTACGAACGGATGTGAAGAAACACTGATCGTAATACAGGACGAATAATCATTTTCTCTTAAACACAGGATACAAAGAGTCGTTTAAATGCAATCTCAAGTTATACGCCAATAAATATAGGATTTTTTTGTTATTTTAGGCTGACGAAAATGAGAGAGACGTAATTAACAATATCGTTTACATATTCATTGAAAAGAAAAAAGAAGTTTTAACTATTCTCAAGCGTTTAATGTGATTTATCTATCTGTGTACAGTATATACGTGATATATTTTTAACTATTTTAACGATGCGATAATTGCACGTTTACTGAAAAAAAATCGTTACAACTTGATTCTTAATTGTTATCCAAATACTTTTTAATGGAACTCGAAAATATGCGTATACCTTGAAATGCATCAACTTAAAATAAAAAACAAATAAGGCATTCAAAGAGTTTATGAGCATTACCGAGAAATTGGCCTGCTAAAAACGTTCTCTATTGTATCTCTTTACTATATTCTAATTATTATTATTCAAATAAATATGGTTTATTGCAATGATCTTTTCACAGTGTCATTATTTGTGTAAACAAGAAGTAATAAGAAAAATACCATGAATTATTGTCACTATAGATCACTATAGATGTAATACTCTCATTTGAATTAGATTTTTTTATTCTGATTTTACGCATGCGCTACTTTATGCTGCATTCATACTAATATTTCATCACACAGCTATTGCATAGTATCCAATAAAAAATTGTGCAATCTAGAAATTTTGTTGCACAGTAGTGATAAACCATGAGCCTTATGTTAGTGAAACAAACAGTCGCAATGTTGCATACTTGCAGTGAATAATTATCCCTAACTTATCATAAAATGCGCGGGAACTTGAATGATACGACTATTACGCGGTGCGTGAATAACTTTTAATAATAAATTACTTTTTTTGTATGTTGAAACTTTAGTTTTGGATATTCCTGTCAGAATATGAAAAGGGATAGAAGAAGAGTGAACAAATATGAAAACCTGCGGGATTTGGCGGCAAAGCGCGATCAGCTGATTGGCAGACAGCAATTTGGGCGCGAAACGCCGGCCCGAAAGACCAATAAGATAAGCGTAGGTCTTGTTCTTTTTATCCCTGCACTTTCTCTACATTCTTTTTTCTCTCACTTCCTTCAATTAATCAGTCATATATCTGTCTCATTTCCAGATTAAAAAGTGTAGGTAGGTAAGCGAGTAAACAGATCGCGTGATAATTTTGCCCGCGTAAAGTGCCAGTCTTTCCGCTTCGTTCGCTCAAACGGTGTCTGAGACTGCTTGCTGTCGTTGTGTCGTCATTGACAGTGATCTCAACAGAATTTAGAAATCTTAACCGAATCTGTTACAAAACTCGCTAACCATGGCGTTGCATGAATCTACCAAGGAAAACATTCGCAAGCATCTCGAGGACGTATCTTTACATGTGAGTTAGCAGTCTTCAGTTTGTTTCGTCAAGTCTACCGTCAATCGAGCTTTTTCTTCCAATTTTTTTAGATATTTGTTTGTAGGAGTACAATACATCCTTTTTTCTTATCTTTTCTTTCTATATTTTTTTTCTGTACTATTTTATTATCAATCGCACATCTGTTTATCACGGAACTAGCTAGCCGCATGAATGGAAAAATCCATCAAGCACGCATACTTTTTTTAACTGTTCTGTGGATGTATGTATGTTTTATACGTAAAGAAAAAAATAGCTATAGTAATAATAATCACCTGAAATTAAACAAATAAAGTATATTAGTGATAATTAAAATTGGGATCAATGATAAGCATGTGAAATTTTAAGAATTAAATATATATCGTTATATGTTTCGTAATACGTTAAAATGATTCACATATTCGGTATTCGGTTATAAATGAGAATTAAAAAAACTTAAAAATAAGTATCTTTAAATTAGTTTTTATAATTTTAAGTCGTTTTAACTTAGTGTGCTTTATATTTTTTTGTAAATACAATTGTGAAAAATCGTGAATTGCAGCTCTTGTCTTCTCTATACTCCGAATTTATATTCTACGTATGTTTAATTTTAGCAGTGGTTATGTCCAAGCACGTGGCTCTGCAAACATGAATTTGCCATTTAAGTATTAACACAATAAAAAACGCAGACTAGAAAAAAATGTGTTTTAAAATACAAAAATAATATATAATTATTATGTAAAAACATAAATTTGTTTAACACAAGCAGCTATGTTAAATGATTTGTCATATATATACATACAGATATATATATATATATACACACACATACATACATATATTCTACATACACATAAAGCTTAGAAATTTTAAGTTAGAATGTTCAGTCATAGGAATGTCTGTCATAGAAATGTTTTCTTATTAAATATATTTGTGATTTTATACTTGTCAGTAACATAGGATGAACAGTGAAGAGGTACATAATTTTCTGCAGTACTACAGAATTTTTTCATTTTTCGATTTGCTTTTAGGTTAAGCGTTTCTAGTAACACTCATAAATAATCATTAGTTATTTGTTTTACAATTTTACTCAAAAAATTACTGAAATTACCATATCAAAATTATATTTCCTTTTTATAGACATCACCAAAGAAATCATGTATCTCACCAACTATATCTCAGGATCATGGATTAAAAAGTGGAGTAAGTTTCTATTTTTTATAGATCTTGATTTATTTTATATATTGGAATTTTATTGATACTAAATAGAAATATGAATAATAAAATTAAATTAGAATTGCTAGCTTTAAAATATTTATAATACTGAAATTGTATATTATTTTATTTGATTATACCATATATTAAAAGTTATTTAATAAAACAATATACATTTGCAGCTTCCCAAGCCAAAAGCTGTACAAAAAGTGCAATTGACAGAAGAGTTCAATCCAGAATTAGAACCACTACTCCAGGAAGGTCCAAACCGCTTTGTAATCTTTCCCATTCAATATCCCGATATCTGGGAAATGTACAAGAAGGCTGTAGCCTCTTTTTGGACTATAGAAGAAGTAGCTCTTCACAAGGTAAATTTTTAACTTGTAATTATGTACAGTAGTTGAAAAAATTTAAGTACAATAAATGAGAAACAAAAAATAATAATAGAGCTCAACTTAATAATCTCCAATATGACGATGTATTTTAAATTTTTACAGGTGGATAAGAAGGATTGGGAAGAAAAGCTCAATTCTGACGAGAGATACTTTATCTCTCATGTTTTGGCGTTCTTTGCTGCTTCTGATGGAATTGTTAATGAAAACTTAATTGAAAGATTCAGTCAAGAAGTAAAAATCGCAGAAGCACGCTGTTTTTATGGTTTCCAAATCGCCATAGAAAATATTCATTCAGAAATGTATTCACTACTCATTGAAACTTACATTTCTGACCCGAAAGAAAAGTGAGTGCAATTGGTTACTATATTGCGTTACATTTACATTAATATATTATAAATACAGTGTGACTCTAACAATTGTTACGCATTTTTACTCAACATTTTGCTACCTAAATTAAATCAATTATTTTAATTATAAAAAATGGATTAATGTATTCTTTTTGCAGAGATTTCTTATTTAATGCAATTGAGACGCTTCCTTCCGTGGGAAAGAAGGCTAAGTGGGCTTTGAATTGGATCAATCATGAAAGCGCTACATTTCCCGAACGTGTTGTAGCGTTTGCAGCGGTTGAAGGTATCTTTTTCAGCGGTAGTTTCGCTGCGATTTTCTGGCTGAAAAAGAGAGGAGTTATGCCAGGACTCACCTTCAGTAATGAACTGATTTCGCGAGATGAAGTTAGTAAATTATCTTATTTAATATATTAATTAATATAAATCGATATTTTTACTACCTTATGCTTTTACTGTTTATATTCATTGTTTTACTTTTAATATTCTTTTGTAGGGATTACATTGTGATTTTGCGTGCTTAATGTTTAAACATATCGTGCAAAAGCCTTCGTTTGAGCGCGTGAAAACGATCATAATGGATGCTGTGGAAATTGAAAAAGAATTCTTAACGCAAGCATTACCAGTCGAAATGATAGGAATGAATTGTACACTCATGTGCACCTACATCGAATTTGTCGCGGATAGATTATTCGTCGCGTTAGGATTTGAAAAAGTAAGATGTGCACAAATTTTATTGACTTATTTTAACTTATTAATATATTTTTTTACTAAATTAATACTCGATTATGATAACATTTTAGGTTTATAACTCGGAAAATCCATTCTCCTTCATGAATTTTATCTCACTGGAGGGTAAGACAAACTTCTTCGAGAAAAAAGTAGGTGAATACAAAAAGTTTGGAGTCGTGGAGGAGAGTTCCCAGAAAAGCAATACGTCAAATGTAGTGTTTAGCGCGAACTTCTAGAATAAGAAAAAAGGACAATGTGTGCACACACTCCTTGAAGATCAGGTAGTATCTGTTAATTTATAATTTTGAACTAACAATAAGCTTTAAAAAATATTTTGCAAATGTTTGTTAGACAAAATAATATCTATGGTTGACGAAGGTCCATGTTTAGAATATATGTCATCAATGAGAAAAGTATTGTAAATGCACTTGTAAAAAATATAGTTTTGTGTTGGATAATTTATTTTTCTGTTATATGAAAACTAAATATGAAAAAATTGTCCAGAGAAGAAGAAAAGATGTATATATTTCTCTTGAAAAATTGCAATATTGTAAGTGCAATACTTTTCATTGGTGTCATCAAATTGAAAGATTTTGGGGGGGACAAGTTTTGAGACCACATTTGGTCTTTAATGTAAAAATTTATTAACTAAAATGCACAAATTATATAATTTATTATAAAGACTAATCGTGACATTTGTGGCACTTTTATAAATTTACGATTTGATAATAATTTATTTTATAATTGAACACATCGATTAAACTTGGTCTTTAATATATTTTTCATTTCTTATTGGAGAATTAAGATAAAAGAGTATCATCATATTATTTATTTTGTTAAAAGTGCCACTTAACGATGGAATATTGCCTAAAAAGGACCGTGTACATAAATTTGAATGAATGATAAATGTAAAGTCTCTGCCATTTTTAAACTTTAAGCTAGTACTTAAAACAATATTCGTAAGTCTTTTTACGTGTATGTAGACAATGATAAGGCTTAAATAAATCTGATTAAAGAAACTTCCTTCAAACTTTGATTACAATCGTTGATGGTGTTCTAGAAATTAAAAAAAATTTTAAACAGAGATAATTGGAAGAAATAACATGCAAAAATTAAAATACTATAATAAGAAAAGTTTGACAAAACAATTCTGTTTCATTCAGACATAGTAGATATATTGGAGAAATGGTGTGTATGTATATACAGCTGCTCTATATTTCATTTATAGATTATCATATTTATAAAATAATATAAACTTGTATGTTTCTGATCTACATAATAATTCCAAGTATATGTATAAAGATATACTTCAACGAATAGGTATATAAGATATATCAAAAATATATATTCATGGAAGCCTACACTGATATTGGCATGGGATTATCAAAAAGAAGGGGTTTCAAAGCCTTGTAGCAGTTGTTGAAGGTACTGTTTGCGGCACTCCATGTTATCAGCTGGTCTATTATATGGCAACCAAACTGGCTCTCCCACAAAGTATCTCTTTGCCTTAATATAATTCTAAAAGAGATTTATTTATAAATATTAGGAAGCTATTTATTTCTACTTAAGAATTTTTTGCGTATCTTAAAAATGTTAAAAGATAAAACATGAAGAGAAACAATGGTAACAAAAGGAATATACTTGCAGACGCTCTTACATTAGTGTCTAAAGTGAAGCGATGATAAATCCCGCTAGGTATAATTATTAAATCCCCGGGAGTCACTTCGATCCGGATCCATTGATCATTCTTATCCCGCACGTCAAAATAACCTGATCCGTCCAAAACTAGTCGTATTTCCTCATCAGTATGAAGATGTTCCGTGAAAAAGTTTTTCAACTAAAGATTAAAATTTGAAAGAATATTAATATACAATTAAACATGTCAATTTAAAACACTAATTTTGATAATTGAAATAGTAAAATAATGCTTTTATGCCTTTTCTTCATAATTTTGCAAACACTTTTTAGAGCAAGTTATCTCATCTTCGTATGTGTAACCGCGGTCCTCGCGTAATTTTTTCAAGGTAGTATCAGTTTCATAATCCAGATGATTTATCTAAAAAAAGAAATTAATGTTAAAAAGATATCATATAATAAGTTTAATTTATTATGTATAAAGCTCTGCTTTTGTACATTTAATGCACATGAAAATATATTTGTTAAAAGAAAATGATTCTATCCATGTATTAAAGTTTTGACTTTGCAGTCAGCTGTCATGTGCGATTCATCTTAGCAGAGTTACGATCGTGCTCAAAGTTAATAATCATATGTGCATCATCGGGTTATTTGGGCAGTTTTAAAAGCGCAACAAATACAATATTATCGAAATCATCAAATCGAATAAAAATTGAATATTTACAACTGCCGTGAGCTCACCACACATTAATGATCTAACCTCAAAATATTCAACACCCGTTACGGCAAACAGGTTATCCAGCGAAACGAATTTTGGCGGTTCCCTGTGATGTTCCAGACGTTGATCGACATCGCTGCTATCCATATACCAAGCACGCACCATTGTTGGAATAATAAATTCAATTGAACGCTTGAACAATGGAAAACGGTCTTTTGCGTTTTACGACTAATCTACTATTATGACGTAAACGTAAATGATCTGACAATCAGCGACTTGCCGGCATTTTATCAACGATAAAAGATTGAGAAAAAATAAATACATTATTTATCGATAATTGTGCGTGACATTGAAAGAGATTAATTTTGAATGAAAAACCTCTGTTGAACAGAAAATCTTGGTACGTTTAATTTGAGGTTTTTAATTCTATTATAATATTTTTATTAGCATGCTTTATCATACAAATTATTTTATATTTATGTGATTAGTTTTTATAATGTATTTTAAATAGTATTATATTTTTGTTATTACATCAAAATTATCTGCTAATCTGTTTATCTTTTAAGCTGTATCAACTCTTGTACAAAATGGATAAACTTGCGGAGTTTGCTGGAGACATGCAGAAGTTCTTGTTAAGGAAGGAGAAAGAATTTGGCGAATTGAAATTTGTTTCATCTCGTGCGACGGAGGATACTTCATGTTTTATCAATGAACTGATGCAGACTGTTGTCAACATTTTTGAAAAATACAATATTCCGAAAGAATTTTCAGACAACGAACAAAAGACCAAAGGTAGCATTAGTACGATCCCAATCGTCGCGCAGTGCTACAACTATCTTCTATTGAACACACATTTTTCCTCACAGGAGCTTCTTACAGAGGATATTTCATGTGGTCATATGGTTGATATATGGCCTGCTCTATCACCGTATCTCTTCATACAGGTAATTTACATGTTACATTTAGTATTCTATAGTTGTTTATCATAAAATATAATATTGTTAATTATATTTTATTTATATTATTGACATGTACAGATAATATGGCGGCTAAAATATGATGAAGTACTAGTTGAATCACTCCAACACATACCGTTGGACCTATGTGTGGACGTCTTACAGATAACAATCAAATGCATAAACGAATTGGAAGCCGAGCGAGCTATATCCCTGACTTTTAGTCTGATGAAAAGAATCTATTGTAAATGTTTATCGCTACATCTGGGTACAATTTCGGCAGAAGATGTGATGAAATGCACAAACCAATTGGTGGCAAGCTTTCAGATGTTACTAGATTTGATTGGAAAGTTCGCAAATTTCCCCGACATGCCCGAAGAGAAAAAGTACGAGCAACATGGCATTCTTTTAAAGCGCATTCTTCGCCACATCAAATTGTACATGTGTGAAAAGAAGAAGGCTTACACGACGGATCCAGATTTCGATTCCTCGACAAACCCGTACAAACTTGCGTACGGTGATCCCGATTCCTGCCCGAATTACAAACATACACTTTCTATCGACGAAGTTAATCTACTTGTAACAAGAATAGACCAAGAATTAATCACTCTGTTATTAAATCAAATCAAGCAGGTGGATTGCTTTGAGTACATGGGTTGGGCGGAAGTCGACGATGTGGAGAATAACGTAATCACGCTGCAGCGTGCCATTATTATTGAGTGCTATCATTTTATGAAATTCATGAAGGAGGATGAATTTCTGATGGAAAACGATCATCTGAGCCAATGCTTGCAGCAGCTTATAGGTTCGGAGAGCTCGGAGAACTTGGAGAAATCCATCTTAACTCTTCAAGAACTCTGCCATGATATTGCCAATGGCAGACCAGAAGACATGAAAGAATTGTTAAAGCGCTACAAGGAATGGGACCAGTCTACATTGAGCTTCATCAACGAAAAGATGCATTTGTTAGAAAAGAACGACAGCTTTTTCTTACTCGAGTATCTCGATCACATTTTCGGAAATCCTTCGCATAGCAAAGAAAGAAAGCACCAGGCGTATGCATCGATATTGAAGATCATGTTGCAACTGAGCGCAGTGAATATGTACTTTATTGTACTGAAATACACGAACCAACACTTCCAGGACAATCATTTAGAACACCTATACAGTCAGAAACATTTCGAGGCATTCGTGTCTCGCAATGAGAGCATGCGTGAGCCTGTGAGGATGCGTACCCTTCTGAATTTTGCATTGCTAAATACGAAGAAGGTGCTGACTACTTTAGTGAAAATTGTGATAGGCTATACCGAATACAAGGATATTATCTTTACGCCATACGACATGCTGCTGTTGCGACCGTTTCTCTGCATAAAGGCAGACAGGCCAATGTAGTTTACTGGCAGCTATTCTAAAAGAGGTTTGCGTGCACAACAGTAATTGGAACTCAAAGAACTTTACAGAGTTTATAAAAATCATGCTGGAAAATCAGGTAATATATAATGTTTTTGATGAGAAGTAAACGTTATGGCATATAAATTAATCAATTCAAATAAATGTTATTCAAATAAAAATTCTATCTGTTGTTACTATTATAAATTCTATTATTTGAACGAGATTTTGTCCAAATCTATATTTTCACACCAATTCTAACACATTTGTGTGTAATTTTCATTAATAATTAATGAAAATTAATTGTTAATTTTCTCTTCCTTAGGCGATAAAACCAGACGATCTGATGAACAACATTTATATTCCTTATCTAGTCGACACTTCCTTCCAGGACAATCTTTCGTCCATTCTGGCTCTCGTATACGATACTCTGACTGAAAAGGATTGTGTGCACAAGATAAATTATACGCTGCTGATCACGGCACTAGCCAAGAAGATGTCGTTGATAAGAAAGTGTCATCCGGATTACACGAGATCTATCGTGAACAGCGTAGTGACCAATATAATGCGCATAATATTCTTCCCGTTCCATGCACGGAACTTATTGACGGCAAGTCAACGGTGCGAAGTGCAGAACACAATCAGCGATTATTTGGAACCGATAGATCGGATACAGCTGTGGCGCGACGCGCACTATATGCCAGAATTGATTCGAGACTACAAGAGACGTTGCTTCATCATACGTCGACGATTGTGCTCGGATTCGCAAAGTAGCCCCGAATTGCGTGAGTATGCGCAATCTATTCAGCTCAATCAGGACGCTTTCATAATGCACATGATGTTGCATGCAACAGAGGAGGAGTTTAAAAGATTTGCGCTTGAGTTGACAACAGTGTTCTGGTGCCACTTTGGCTGGGTCAACGAATTTGAGGCGTACAAGAACGTGCTACGCATCACTTCCGAGGCGGCGCACCTTGCTTTGACATTCGACGAAACGTTCCCTTCGGACTCATTCGTCGTGCTGCTACGAGCTCTCGTTTCTTTCTGCGGAGTGTTCGCAAATATCAAAGACGTACGCGACCAGGAGATGATTTGCTGCTGTTTGCAGAAAACTCTGTTCTTACTAAAAGAAGCAGCTAACAAAACGCGCTATGGCCAAACGTACAGCCTTCTACTTGCGCGCGTAAAGGACATTTCCGTCGATGAATCCTATTCTGATGTAGAAAATTATTTTCACGAAATTAGTGAGTGGATCGAGATGTATCTTGTTCAATGTGAGACACTGCTGTCCGCTCAGAAAGAATTGCTAAGGTAAGTGAGCGAGAAACCAATATTCTTCCTTTCGAATTTCTCTTTTGATATGTCATAATAATAATTTTGATTATTTTCAATTTGCTATAACTTCAACATTTTACCAGCTCCAGTAAAGTTATAAAAGAACCATAAAATATTATATACGTTATGCAGAGAATATTATAGAAAAGAAAATAGAAAATATAAAAGCAAGAATATTTTGTAAAATATTTATATATTTTTGCAGCAGTACCTTAGACAATAGGATGGACTCGTGCGAGGAGAACTCACGACTTGTGAACGACAATTGTATCAGTGATAAACTCAACAATCTGTTCGAGGCATACAAGTTTATATGCGCATGCATTAACATGCCAGCAAGGAGACATATCGTTGCATCGAACGAATACGAG